TTTCAGATATTTAATATGTAAGATTTATCGAAATTTTCGCTCAAACATTTTTACTAAAACATTTAAGTTGTTTTTTCTAATTTAAAATAGAACACGTTTCATGATTGAAAAAATCTATTAAAGTGTAATAAAATATAAATTATATACATACATGTTTATAAAACACCACTTTTCTTTTCATTGTTTTTTTTACAAATTTAAGAAAATACTTTATTTTTTTGACATGAAAATCTAATTAAAAAATAAAAAATTACTTCTTTTAAAGAATTTTATATAAATTATATTTCTTTTTTGTTATTTTATTTAATAAATATGATTTTAACAATAAAAAATTAACATCAATGATTGTGTTTATTGAATTTGTTAACTATCCTTAAAGTAAAATAAAAATTCAGATTATTTAATACAAAAAATAGTAAATATAATTTAAAATTAAATTTATATAGTTGTTATTATTTAAATAGTTACAGTTTCAATTTTCTTTAAAAATTTTATATTTAAAAAATACGAAAAATATGACAAGTTAAAACAGAGTGTAGGTATAACTTAATAAAAAATTAATTTAATTTATAATAATAATTTTCTATTGTTTCGATTAAAAACTTTTCATAAAGAAAACTTTGATATAAATGTTTTAAAACTAACACTGAAACCTTTTTATAAATTTTACGACAAAATCTAGTTTTTTGTAAAATTTTTTAAATTTAAATTTAAAAAAAAATTAAATGATATATATAATAGTAATTTTTAAAAGATATATTATAAAATATCTTATTAAATCATTTTATATTCCTTTTCAAGTAAAAATTTTATTATCACTTTTTAAATATTTGAAAGTGAATATATCATATTATAGTTTATAAATTTTTTTAAAAAGATTCAAACTATTTTAAGCTTAATATTTAATATGATAAATTAGAAGTTTTTATGTAAAAAAATAATTCTAATATTATAAATTTAGTTTTATTTTTATATACATTTTAAAATGATATTCACACTAACAGGTTTAATATCAAAAGAAAAAATTTAAAAAAGTAATAACCATCAAAAAATACTTTATTACCATCTTATAATTATTCACAATATTATTTGTAGTTTATTCAATAATAAAGATAGAAATTTATTTTTACTTTATTTGTTTTTTTAAATAATATATTTTAAAAATTAGTGTTTAAGTATAATCAAACTACTTCTTTATATGATTATAAAAGAAAATTTTCTTATACACCAATGATCTTTTTAATTGACAAAAATTTCTATTAATAAGATATATATCGTGAAAAAATATTTTTAATTTTAAGTAATATATTTTTATTTGTTAATTTAAAAATGTAAAAATTAACAAGAGTTACTTAGGTGTGAATAGACATTAATTTTTTGTTTGTTATATGTTTTTTAAAGATTTAATCTTTTACGTCACATTTTTTAAATATTACTTATCTGTTTATTTTGATACTTTTGATTTGATAAAATTTAAATAAAATACACATCTACACAGTTTTTATTGTTTAGAAATTCAAAATTTTTAAAATATTCATTTTATTTAGGCCAAGTCTTTACTTTTCTATTTAATTTTAAAATAAATTGCTAAAATAGTAAATTTAGACATGTATTAATTAGTTTTTTATATA